AGAAATGATGAATGAGAGCGTTCTGTCACAAGTCTCAACTCGAGGTAATCCACCTCACAAGCAACTGGGGACAGGATCCCTTCCACCAGGCTTCTAGCTGCCTTGTCATTGATCTTACAAATTTTAAATAGTGTCAGTCACTCTCCTCATGGATTAAATTTTAACATATACAACATAGGGGTGTTCAGAGCCTGTTGCATTATTTAATTAACTTTTGTAATTTTTTTGGTTTCAAGTTTATTTCAGAATATTTGAAGTACTTCAGAATGAAACAATAGATTCATTTCATGAGTATAACTCATCATATTTGGATGCATTTAACTAAATTTATAAGTCACATCAGGTGGTTTATAGAATTAATAGAAATGTGATGTGTTTATAACTTTTAATTTTGAAGTAAGTGTGGAATCACAAAACCTGAAATATTCCAGAGATTTCTTAAATGCCCTTCAGCCCACTACTCCCAAAGGTAAAACCTTGCACAACCACAGCTCATCAAATAGAGGAAAGTGAAATTGTTGCAGTGCTGTTAACCGGCACTTACGTGAGTTCCTGTAACCAACACGACAGTAAAAATTCGGGATGCTCTGTCAACACAAACTCCCTCATGCTGCCCTTTCATGGTCACACCCTAACCTTACCCTAGCTCTTGGCATCACAGAGCTCTTTGTGCCTACAATTTTGTCATTTATAGAATATTAGAAAAATAGAACTGTTCGACATGTGCCCTTTTGATAGTGACTATTTGACCTTGTGAAATAATAGAAAATGTACATACTGGTCTCTGCCCCTGGTTCCTGGCACAGAGCTCCTGAAACTTGTAAAGTCCTAAGTCATAAGAGCACTAGGAGCATCTCTTATTCTAGTGAGGGGACTCTGGGTGGGCTTCTGGATCGGGGCTGGTCACCCAAAAGACCAAGCCACGATTAGAAGGCTGGAATTTTCAGTCCCTCTCCCCATCCTCCATACAGGGACGAGGGGCTAGAAGTGGAGATACTAATTAATCATGCTTGTGTGAGCAAGCATATCTAAAATCCCAATCGAAGGGGCTTTGGAGAGCTTCCATCTAGGTGAACGCATTCAAGCGCGGGGAGAGCAACACGCCCCCGACCCCACGGGGACAGAAGCTCTTGGGCTGGGGACACTCCCAGGCCTCTAGGTGTCTCTGCACCTGACCATTCATCTCTGTCCTTTGTCATATCCTTTAATAAACTGGTAAACACAAGTCAGTGTTTTCCTGCATTCTGTGAGCCACTCTGGCAAATTAATTGAACCCAGTGAGGGGCTCATGGGAACCTCCAATTTGGAGCCAAGTCAGACAAACGGTAGGCAACTCTGGGACCTGCCATTTGTGATTGGCATCTGAAGTGGGGTGGGAGCAGTTTGTGGGACTAAACCCTTAAGCTGTGGGATATGACACTGTCTCCAGGTAGATTTTTTTAAAATATATTTTTGTTTTTATTTATTTGGGGTTTTTTTGGGGTGGAGGAGAGGTAATTAGGTTTGTTTATTTATTTATTCATTCATTCATTCATTCATTTATTTGATGGCGGTGCTGGGGGTTGAACCCAGGGCCTCGTGCATGCTAAGCATGTGCTCTACCACTGAGCTATACCTGCAGGCCCCTCACCGTCTCCATGTAGATTTGAGTTAAGTTGTAGGACCCAGTTGATATCATGAATTGTTTGATATGGGAAAACCCACACATTTGGTGACCAGAAGCATCGAAGTCGTGCGTGGCAGTACTGTGAAAGTCAAGGAGAGACATGGGAGCAAGACTGAACTGTAGATTTTTTCCAATACAGACCTTGAGTAAATTCAACCCAACATCCAGCCAGAAGCTCTCGGGGGGTCCTCTCAGCCGCAAGAATATCAGACTGCATGCAAACTTGGCCATACCTGAGGTGTTCTGGCCTATTGGCCCAAGGGCACCATCAACGTAACGATTTTTCCCAAACTGATGACTAGAATGTGTCCCACACCACGTTGGCCCTGGATGGGTACCTGCCTCTGAGAAGAAGTTTGCTCTGTGCCTGTGACCATCTGCAAAGAGAGGAAGGTATTGGGGTGCCTGGAAGATATTTCCATTTCTTCCCATCGAGCAGAGTTGTAAGAGCCTGTTTGTTAGGGCCACTCCCATTGGAAAGGCCAGAACCTCTATGAGATCATGGTGTCACGTGACCTCATAGAACCCTTAGGAGGCCAGAACGCAGACTTGGAAACTGACCCAGAGCCCTGGCCAGAGGCCAAGGAGGTACTGCGGGGAGAGGGCGCTGGGGTCGGAAGTGGTTTCCGAAGGGGTTCAATCTTTGGCAGCTGCCAGAAGTCTTCAGAGGCTTAAGATCAGGTGAGCCTGATTCTGGGTGAGGATTTCCCAGTGAGGGGCCTGTGGGATCGGTGAAGTGGGAATGCGTGTGAATGTCCGTATTTGGGATTTTCTTTGGGTTCAGTCACTGGGGAATCTGGGCGTTAAGTGTGGAGCCTTTGGTTGAAGCTTGAGTATGAAGAGATGAACGACTGAAGAAGGTTCGATGGTCAGGCTTAGGATTTACGTGTTTGTGTGGTTCTTGTTTTTGTTTTGAGGGGAGGTAATTAGGTTTATTTATTTTTATGGAGATACTGGGGATTGAACCCAGGACCTCGCATGCGCTCTACCACTGAGCTATACCCTCCCCTCCAGGGTCTTATATGTTAACTATATGTTAACTGGGTACCTAAAAACTGGACGGAAGAAGTGAAGCCAACCAGCACTGCTTCTCACCAAGATAAGTGACATTTATCAGGCTCATGACATGGAGAAGACTGGGACTGGGGGAGGAATTATCAGCGGGCAAGAGTTTGTGTGGTAAATTTCAGGTTGAATGTGAGGTTAGTGTTGAGAGAGTGCAGGAGTCTGGAAGTTTTGAGACTCAGCCCCAGGCTAGTGGGTGTTTTGAGGGTCAACTTTGGATGCTAGAAACATTTCTATTAAGGCTTTCACGTCTCAGTCCTTTCTCAAGGTTCTGATTAAAATTCTTTCTCCTACACTCACTCTTCTCGTGACCCTCACAAAAGGCAGAGTAACTCACTGTGGTGAGGTGGTGTGTATACGAATAAAGGTAGGATTTTTGTTCATCTTAAACATCTGTGACATTTATTCTTGGATATTTCCTTTCAGGTTTCTTTGACACAAGTGAAAACAACCATTTTCCTAAGTTCTGCTCCTCAGTGAGAACCATTTCATTAAAAACGTTTTTCAGACTACTTTTTAAAAAATTGGGATCATCTGTATAAACATATATTGAAGAATCTGCCTGTCTTCTAACATGGCTGGTTTGTTTGTTTTTGCATTGTCTCTGGCAAATTAAAGCTCCTGTTACTCCACTTTATCACCAGTTTCTCATATTTTCAGTTTTTTTTGGACTTCAGCAAGTCTAATAGATGGGTACTCGTATCACACTGCTGTTTTAATTTGCAGTTCTCTAGTAAATGATGTAGACCATCTCTTCAAATGCCTGTTTGCCATCTGTTATCTTTGATTTTGTCTGTTCAACGTCTTTACCAATTTTTAAAATGGGGTTTTCTTATTGTTGACTTTTAAGAATTCTTTCTATGTTCTGGGTGAAAGGCCAGTCCTTTATCAGATATATGACTTAGGAATGTGTTGAGATTCTTTTTTTCTTTTTACTTAAAAAAAATCCTTTTTTTTTTTTTTGCCTATGATCTCTTAAGTGTTCCAACATCATTTGCTGAAAAGTCTATCTTTCTCCAGTAACCTTAGTACCTCTGTAAAACAGTGTATTGATTTATGTGGGTCTTTTCTGGGATTCCTGTTCTGTTCCATTGATTTGTGTGTTTAGCCTTCCACCATTACTACTAAGCGTTGATAAGCCTTGAAATCTGTTGATGTGATGGTTCTTTCTGGTCAGAAATCATTTTGCTATTTTCAGTGGAGAAACCTAGCAAAAATTCCCTTTACCAGGAGTTCAGCATTGTCATTTTCATATTCTGTACCCCTAGATATGATGTTATTAGAAAGGGACTTCAATTCTGAGGTGTCTTCCAAAATGCATGACCTCTGTTTGAGGAAAACTTAGACCAGCCTAAAAGATGGACAATATACAAAATACCTGATGAGGACACCTCCAAATAATTGAGTACAGGAAAAAGAGAAGACTGAAGAATAGTCATGGGACAGAGAAATTCAAGGAAACATGATGCAGTATTGTACCCTGGGTTGAATCCCGGGATGGAAAAGGACAATAGTGGAAAAACCTGTGAAATTCAAATAGAATCTGTGATTTAGTTGAGTGTTACACCAATGTTGATTTCTCAGTTTGACAAATGTACCATAAAATATGCACATGAAAGCACGTTGAATGAAGGTATAAGTACACTCTCTGTAGTACTTTGTGACTTTTGTGTAAATCTAAAATTTCCCCCCAAATAAAACGTTTATTTAAAATAGGTTTAATCTATGCCAAGTATATCTCAATAAAACTGTAAAAAAAAGTGTAATCTAATTTTATCACTAAATTTCTCATTATAAACATATTTCCATATTATAAAATGTTTTTGTATATCTATTATAACTAAAAATAAGTGGCTGTAATGATCTCATGGGTGAACTGGTAGGATGGCAACTTGAGTCACATAAATAGTATGCGTTAGAGTGGGTATACTTGAAAAACATAAAATATTCAATTCTGTTCAGTTTATATTATGATGCTCTCATTCAAATTCTTACATTCTCATTCCAAATGTGTTGTACCATTTTTCTTGTATGTCCTAGATATCTCCGTTTACTTTTAATCCTAGGTGGTTTATAATTTTGCAATTATCCTTGATGTCTTCTAAAAAATTCATACCCTATAAATTTTGTAGTACAGAAAAACAATTCATTTTAACAGCTTCATGGTTATAATTTACATGTAACATTTACCAGTTGTAAGTGTGCAACTCAGTGACATTTAGCAAGTTTATAGAGTTGTACGACTTTCACTGCGGTCCAATATTTAGAAATTTTTATAACTCCCAAAAGTAACTGGATGGTTGTTTTGTTATTATTGAATTTTGAGAATTCTTTGTATGTTCTGAATCCAAGTCCTTTAGCAGATGTTAAATGCGTAAATATTTTCTCCTAATCTCTGGTTCTACACATTACTTTCTTAAAATTATGCTTAGAACTACAAAAGTTTTTTTTTTAACATTTTTTGATTCATAATGATTTTACAGTGTTGTGTCAAATTCCAGTGTTCAGCACAATTTTTCAGTCATTCATGGACATATACACACTCATTGTCACTTTTTTTTCTCTGTGATTTATCATAACATTTTACAAAAGTTTTTAATATTAATTAAGTCCAATGTATTATTTTTTCTTTTATGGCTCATCCTTTACTGTCGTATCTCAGAACTCTCTGGCTAACTTAGATTCGTGGAGATTGTCTCCCATTTGCTTCTCTAAGTTTTATACTTTTACCTCTTACGTTTAGGTCTGTGATGTATGTTGAGTTAATCTTTGTGCATGGGTAAAGGTCTTTATTTTCTGCAAATAGGTATACCATTATCCCAGCATCGTTTGTTGAAAAAATTAACCCGATGAAATTTAAATATTTTTGGACTCAATTCTAGGTGTGCATTTCTCATTGGCTCCAGACTTTGACTGTCCTCATTTTTAGTGGCTTTTTCCCGAGGCTCCAATCCCAATCAGAACTCGGTCTCCTCCCAGCCGCTCTTTTCCTCTTGAACGCGATGGACGGTCGCCTCATAGGGTGCCAGTGTCTTGAAATCTTATTCTCTCTGTAAAAGCCGCTTCCTGCAAGAAAATTTCCTCCGAAGCTTTCTGGGATGTCCCTTTACCGGATGTATTTATTGCCTTTTCTTTTTCAGGAGTTCATTCTCTGCTGCTATACGGACACCTGGACTCCGTCGCTTTCCAAACCCGCCCCCTCCCACCCTTAAAAAAAAAAATAGAGTAATATAAAGGCCGCGCAGTCTTACTTTTCTGCCCAGTCCGCCGAACGCGGTTTAGGTAGCTCCATATTTGCCTCGCAAATCTCGAGTCTCTGAGAATCTGCTAGTTTTCTCAACAGTCGAAGTGCCAGGGAACGAGATAACTTCAGGGGCTTCTCACTTGCCCCGCCATCCCTGGCTCCTGGCCCCGGAACGCGCTCCTTTGCCTGCTGTACGTCAGGTGTTCCAACATGGCCGCCCCCAGGCCGCGGCGACCTGGGTGCGGACATATTGCCGCTCAAAGAAACGCCGGAAGGGGCCTCCGCGTTTCTTCAAACGCTTCAGGCCCTCGTCGGCCCCCGTAGGTAGATGAAAAATCCAGGCGACGGATCCAGAAGTAGAAACAGTTCGCGGAAGTGTTCCGTTTACGGTCTGCTTACAGGCTGGAGAACGTCAGGTCAGTGTGTGCGTTTGTTCCTCGAAGTTTTGTGTGTTTTGTCCCCGGGGAGATTTGTCTCCCAGGGTGACGTGACGTCCACAAGGTGAAAGTGGTGCCCTGTGGACTTGGGGAATTATCGGGGGTCAGGTGCGGGAGCGCCCAGGTGGAGGCGTTTGAAGGGAACCAGGGGCGGGTCTGTGACTCGGCTCTCTGTGGTTGGGGTACCTTGGAAGGGCGAGTCGTTAAAACGAGTAAGAATTTGTAGAGATCATCGGGCGTGTCCCGACTGACAGGGTCTTTGCGCATCACTTTGTAAAGCTTGTAGGTGGTATTTTCGGTCATCATAGGTTCAGGTTCAGGAATTAATATGGGGCTCAGTGATGTTAGGAATGGAATGGACAGTTACCATATGGGATGTCTGGTCCAGGTTTTGGGTCAATAAGGAAGTGTTGTACTCAGCGTCTGTGGTACAGAAAGGCTTGTGAGGGCTGAAGCTTTGGACACCCAGGACCCCTGGCTGGTGGTTGGGTCCATCTTCCAGCCTGGGCCGCTGGGAAGGGAGGCGTTACAGCCTAGGGGAGTAGTGTGACACCTTCTATTTTTTAGCCTTTTGTTCAGGAGTTGAGTAACTGCAGACCGAGGGACTACTCCAGCCACGCCCATCTGTTATGCGTCGTCTATGGCTGCGTTCATCCTGCAAAGGCAGGATTGAGTCCTTGTGACACATCTTAACCCTCCAAGTAGACATGTATAATATCTGTCGCTTTGCAGAAAATGTTTGCCAATGCTTTCCCTCACCACTTAATATATAACACTGGACACTGTTGCTTGTTTGCCTGACATGCGTTCACACTTTATTCTTTGCTAACGGAATCTCCATTTTGTTTAGTATCCATCCTTCTGGCAGGGCGACCCATATCCCAATGCTGGTTGGTCTTAGTTACTCATGGCGGTTCCAGTTCCCGTTGCTAGGGATCGCATTAGTATGAAATGAGCTTAGCTATATGGTTCTGGTCTAGCCAGCCATATTATGTGACATTTTGTTTGGGGGTTTCTGGGGGAACATTTTGTCTTTTTAATAAGTATTTCCTTGAATCTCTTTTTCCACGTCGATGATGATATTATCTGAGTATAACCTTTTCTGTTCAGTTTCTATGGTTTATAATTCATTCTAATTTGAATACATTGCTTCTACTCTTCAATACAAAGTAGGAAAGTAAGTAGGGTGGTAGTGGACATCTGGGTCCTGTTGTCTACTCGAAAATTAACCTGCTACATTGCCTTAAGTAAACATGTTTCCAGAAGGATAGGATCATAAAATTATGAGTTCATCCAGGATTTTAAATTTAATAACATAAAAAATGTTCATAGTGCTCTTTCAAGACTAAAAAATTGTCTAGTTTATCTAAGTTATGTCTCCCATTAATTCTTTACATTTTTTATTGGCAGCAAGTCTCTGTCTATTTCACTACAAATGTGTATGTCTTGTTAGTCTTTTTTAAAGAACAGGCTTTTGGTATTGTTGAATTCTTCCATTTATTTGTTAATTGAAAAGATCTATAAGTTAATCAGTATAAAATTAATGTATATATATAAAACGGTCATTACCCAGGTCGAGAAACAGAACCTTACTAGCCCCTCAGTGGTGTTCTGTGAACCTCTATCCGATTATATTACCTCCTCGCACCCAAAGGTAAATACCATTCTGCTCGATACCAAGTTGTCAAAGGCTCTTCTTCATAGTTTCATTATATGAAAAAATTAATCACTCTTAATCATATTTTATTTAGTTGTGCCTATTTTTAGTTGTGTGTTAGTGTAATTATAATCTTTTTTTAATGTCAGGCTTTTTTTGTTTTTAAATTATTTTTTGTTTTTTAATGGAGTTACTGAGGGTTGAACCCAGGAAGCTCCTGTATGCTAAGCATGCCCTCAACCACTGATCTATACCCTCTTCCCTGGATGAATTTCTTCTTGTTACGTTTCCGCTTTCCTTTAGGATGGACATTATGTACTTAAGACAACTGTTAGTTTTCATCATGACTCTAGATGTTACTTACAGCATGGAACGTTTCTTTGGCAAATGTTCACGTGAATTAGTACTTTTACATCCTTCTTTGAAAATACAGGGGTCTGAGAGCACCTCAGCTTCATTTACCATTTTCCAATTTATTGTGTACAATATTGTGTACTTTTAAAGGATGTCTTTAAACCCCCCTAAGATATTATCATTATTGCTCAGAAGACAACGCCTCTGGTTTGCCCAGTACATTGGTTTTCAAACTGAAGTGTGTGTACCTGCAGGGCATACACAAACGTTTAAAGAGGTACCTGAGCACACAGGGTTTAAAGGAAAACAGCGCCCAGCTCCCCTCCTTCCAGATGGTCCCTTTGTGTAACTGAGCTTCCTGAGGTTCTCCTGCTCCGGAGGCTGCTGGGATGGGTCTCAGTTACCCCGTGTCCTTTGACAGCCACCCCACTTCAGCTTCATGGAGTAAAGGAACACCCCCACTATGGTCAGAGTCTTAGGCTTTTTTGGCCAGAAGTATAAAATCTTCTGGGACACCAAGGTAAGGGACACTTAGTGATGCTGTGGGCATTGGGTTCAGGTGAATTTCAGGAGCAGCGGTAGCATCTGGGCCCAGAGGAAATGTACGTGCAGCTTGAATTTTCTCCTCATCCCACAGGTCCTACCTCCCAAAAGCATCAGTTGAAGGAGGAAGTTACAGGATTTAGTATCAGCATTTCGGAGGACACGCTTGACTGAAGACGTTTCAGAACAGAAATTCAGAGCAGATCCAGAAGACACAAGGACAGAGCCTGCCCATCGCCAGGTATTTTCAGAGAACGGAAGGAAATGATCCAGGCCCAGGTGACTTGTGGTTTGTTTTCTTCTTCCCTTTGTTCCCTAATGGATTTGTTAGTTGTCTGAGGCATTCTAGCTAATTATTGTGTCTGAGGGTGTTTGGGACCCTGGAGTTTGTAGCCTGCTCTTCTGAAGTGAGGGTGAGCCCAGGGACCCTGAGCCTGCCGCTGGTGTCTGAAGCAAGAGCACTTCTGTGGGGACTGTTTTCTCGGGCTCTACATTTTGACTCTCTCTTGGCTTCCATGTTCAAAGCCAAATTCTTAATCCACTTTTTCTTATGTTGCCTTTATTTTTGTTAATTACACAACTGACTTAAGGATACATTTGAAGACAGATCACAACAAAGTACACATATCAAAAAATAAGTTTCTTCATACACCTTAAACAGGCTTATTAAATATGTAGTTTCTTGTAATTCTGGCATCTTGAGTCTCTTCACAAAAGATTTTGATTGGTTGGCTATAAATGCTCAGTCATCCTGATGACATCAGCATGTACTTCTGTCCTGTATACATGAGTGTAGTGTTTCTAGGTTAACAAGATTTAACTTCTACGTGTTATAGAAAGGTCTAACGGTAAATGGATGGTTGACTGAATACACAATTACAATTAGTTTGATCCTAATATTTTATTATGTTTTCTTCTTCCATTTGCATTAAAAATACAAGATAAACAACAGAGTCTTACTTATATTCAGCATCTTGTAATAACCTATAATGGAAATGAATCTGAAAAAGAATATATATATTATGTATATATAAGAATCTGAAATAAATATATTATATATAAAACAATCACGATGCTGTCCACCTGAAATTAACACAATATTGTAAATCAGCTATACTTCAGTTAAAAAAAAAGATTAAAAAAAACAAAGCAAGAAAACAAGTAAACCCCTAGATATATAGATCCCACCTTTAAAGTAGAAATGAGAAGAAAAACTTGAACATTTCTTCCATCTCGTCAAAAGGACATCACTTCATTAAACACCACTGTTGTTGTAGGAATCCCTGACATTTGATGATGTGGCCGTGGACTTCACGTGGGAGGAGTGGCAGCTCCTGGTTCCTGCCCAGAAGGCCCTGTACCGGGACGTGATGCTGGAGAACTACAGCCACCTGGTGTCCGTGGGTGAGGACGCTCCCCGGGTCACTCGGAGGGGCCCCAGTCAGTGGCCTTTCCTTTCTCAGCGTCTGAGAGCTCTGGAGTGTCTGACGTGGTAGATTTTCTCAGTCCCCTTGAGACTGAGAAAGTGGGCATAGTCTCCCTTCTCCTGAGAGAAAAGGCTTTACTTTGTAGCTATGTGCAATATTATGATTTATATCAAGAAATATGCTTATTTGGTCTTTATCCCCAATTCTGGCACAGAGCTCCTAAAATCTGTGGAATTTCATAAGTTAGAAGAGTGTAAAGGAGAAGTGGGTGTCTTTTGTTACTCATAAAGCAAGATGCCTTGAACCAGATCTGAGTTTACATTATTGAGGTGATTTCTGGAAAGCCACCACATAACCTACGTTTGGGGGCTGGTTGCCAGGGGAACCAACCACAATTAGAGGGTTGGATCTTTCGGCCCCATCCCCACACACCTCTGGGGAGGGCAGGCAGGCTGGAGGTTAAACCAATCACCGAAGGCTAATGATGTAATCAGTAGCACATGCTTCATTAGAAGGACCCCAGAAGGAGAGCTTTCGGGCTGATGGACACCTGGAGGTGCCCGGAGAAGGGTGTGCTCAGAAAGAGCACAGAGGTGGGGAGGGTACAGCTCAGTGGTAGAGCGCATGCTCAGCATGCATGAGGTCCTGGGTTCAATCCCCAGTACCTCCATTAAACAAACAAATAAACCTAATTACCCCACTCCTCACCCCACAAAAAAAACCTAAAGAAAAAACAAAAAATTAAAAAGAAAGAGCACAGAAGCTCTGTCCCTTCCGACACACCTTGTACTGTGTGTCTCCCATCTGGCTGTTCCCGAGTTGCATCCTTTTATAATACACCAGGGATCTAGTAAGGAAACTCTGTTCCTGAGTTCTGTCTGCCACTCTAGCGACCAAGAAGGGAGTCGTGGGAACCATTGATCTACTCACGGTCGATCAGAAACTCAGGAAACAACCTGAATTTACAATGGGTGCCAGGAATGAAGGGTCAGAGGGGTGGTCTTGTGGGACTGACCCCCTAACCTGTGTTATCTGATGCCATCACCAGGCAGATAGAGTCAGAATTGAGTTAAATTGTAGGACGCCCAGCCAGCATCTCTTGGTGTCGTGGAATTTCTTGATGTGGTGAAAAGCGACATGTCTGGTGTGGGAAGTGAAGCAGCACTGACAGTGGAGGAGACACCGACAGGGGTGTGTTTTCTTCTGTCATGTCCTCAAGTGTAACGTTCTGTGCTCTTCACAGACCCCAGGCCCAGTTCAGTGGGTCTAAATCTTGTATCGTTTTCCATGCACAGGTTATCAAGCCAGCACCCCAGGCGTACTTTCCGAGTTGGACCAAGAACGACCATGGATGATGGAAGACGAAGTTCACTGCCAAGCCAGTTCAGGTGAGTGTGAGGCCAGCAGGGGGGCAGGCCATGGAAATGACATTCCAGCTGGTCAGGGAGGAGTCACCACTGTGAGGGGGTTTGGGGCTCTGTCCGCCCCGCCTCCGTGCATCTCTCTGGATGTCACACCTCTTTTTCTTTGTCATTTAGAGGGAACTATGTCCCTTCTGAGAGACAACACTATCTCTTCTGGGATCTGTTTCTTCTTTATTTTACCCACCTCCCGATTTCTTGTTTGCACAGTTTTCTTTTCCCAGGGTCCTCAAATCCCTCCCTTCTGTATACTCTCCCTTCCCTTGCTGTGAAATTGCACCTGCCGAGGCCTCTCTCCAGAGACAAAACTGAATTCCTCCCTGTCCTCTGACGCCTGTACCTTCCCCCCAAGTGGTAATGTTGCTTTCCCTCCTGACATCCACCCCCTCTTGGATGCTGTGCCCCAAAGACACTGGTCTTCACTGCGCCGTATCCCCACACTGAGATACCTTCTCCAAAGGTTTTCTTTTCTATTTTCTCAAATGATCTCCTAAACTTCAAGGTTTTCTTCATTCGAATAAGATAATAAGCTCCTTCACTGGTTCACTGGAGAAGCCACCTGAACTGACATCTCCCCAGTGTGATCCCCCATCGGTGTGGCTTCTGCATAAATGACTCATCTCGTGGCAGCTCTCCTGAGTTCCTGGTGACTGCCGGGGCCTCGGATCATCTTCCCTCCCGGGAAACCCATAATCATGACTCTTTCCTGCTTCAAATTAATTCCTTGGTGTATTTGCTAATTTTGAACTTTCTTCTCTTTTGTTGTAGACATTACCATTGTATTCACATCCTTAAAATTCTCATTTTTCTTCCTGTTGTATTCTGATGACATTTAGCCCCAGCTAACCATGTTACCTTTCAATTAAAGTTCTTGTTTCTATGACTTCTATGATGTGATATGGTCTTGCTCACCAAGATATGGATTTCCATTTTCTTTCCTAAATTCTCCCCACTGTGTTCCATAAATGTAATTGTTTCTTTGATTCACTCCTTACACTGTTTGATGACCTGGTGTATGCCGGAGTAAGGACAGTCAAAAAAAGCGTACAGACTGATCATGAGCTTTCAGTCTAAGAGAAGAGAGTCAAGAAATTAACCAACGGACTCACAGACATAGAAAACAAACTTACAGTAATTAATATGGAAAGGGAGGGGTGGGGAGGCATAAACTGGGCGTTTAGGATTAGCAGATACTGTTCTGTGTAAAATAGATAAACAACAAGGTCCTACTGTAAAGTACAGCGAACTATATTCAGTATCTTACAATAGCCTAGAATGAGAAAGAATATGAAAAGGAATATATATGTGTATAACTGAATCACTGTGTTGTACACCAGAAACTAGCACATTGTAAACCAGCTATACTTCAATTCAAAAGAGAGAAACAAATTTAAAGAAAAAGAAATTAATCAACATAAAAATACATCATGGGGGTGAAAAGTGCTGTGATAAAAAAAAATGTAGTCATATAATGGAAGAGAACGTGCTGGGGCTCCTCTTTTAGGACCCTCTTGGATGAGGTGCCTTTGAACCAAGAAATGCAGGAAGTCAGGTGGCTGCCGAGTTAGGAGTTCTCCGCATAGAGATGGCAAGTTTAAAAGCCCAAGCCAGCAATGTGTTTGAGAAACAGGAAGGAGCCTGTGGGGACGGAGCAGAGTGAGCTTCCAGAAACATGATGGGAAAAGGCCAAAGAGGCAGGAACAGCTGGGGGCGGGGAGAGTGAGACTGGTCCTGTTCTCCATTCCAGGAAATTGCAGTTTTACTCCTCATGAGACGAAGCATGAGGAGTTCCAGAGTCCTGGGATGACATGAAATGATTTACATTTGCAAACAAGCCCTTTGGGCACTGTGTAGATGGTAGTGGGCAGGGGTGCAGGCAGGAGGGCCACGTGGGAGGCTATTGCACAACACAGAGACGAGGAGAATGGCTGGGTGCATCATGGGTGAAGGGTGAGTGCCGGTCAGATTCTGGATATGCTGCCTGTAGAAGGCAAAATGAGATTAAGAAAAAAATTATCATTTAATTTTTTTTAACATACATACAATGATGTGTATCTTTTTTTAGGGGAAATAGGTGATTGGATTGAATGATTGATTGAAGGTGTTGGAGATAAAGCCCAGGACCTCGTGTATGCTAAGCAGATGCTCTGAGCTCCACCCTCCCACTGTGAGATTTTTTTTTAATTGAAGTATAATTGATTTACTTTTTATTTTCCCTTAGAAGTTTTTTTTTCCAATTCATATTTTTTATTGAAGCATAGTTGATTTACAAAGTTAGTTTCAGGTGTACAGCAAAGTGATTCAGTTATACATATACATATATATATATATACTTTCTTTTTAGATTCTTTCCATTTTATGTTTTGACAAGAAAGAATATAGTTCCCTGTGGTATACAGTAGGTCCTTGTTGTTTGTCTGTTTTAGATATAGTAAAGTATATCTGTTAATGCAAACTCCTGTTTTATCCCTTCCCCCCTTTCCCCTTTGGTAACCATAAGTTTGTTTTCTATGTCTGTGAGTGTCTATTTCTGTTTCATAAATAAGTTCATTTGTGGTTTTTTTTTTTAAGATTCCACATATGAGTGATATCACATGGTATTTTTCTTTTTATTTTTGGCTTACTTCACTTAGAATGACTATCTTCCGGACCATCCATGTTGCTGCCAATGGCACTATTTTATTCTTTTTTTATGGCTGAGTAATATTCCACTGTGTGTATGTATATGCCTGTACACACACACACACACACACACACCTTCTTTATCCAGCCATCTGTTGATGGACATCTAGGTCAAGACCTTGATTTTATTCCTAATGAGATGGGAAAAGATTTGGGAGTTTTGAGCAGAGGAGGCTTGATGTGATATAACTGATGCTGAAAGGATCCAATTGGTTAATGTGTAGAAAACAGACAGGAGCCTGCAGGAGGGTAACAGGAAAGCCCAGTGGGAGGCTACTGCTGCAGTGCAAGAGAGAGCGATTGGCTTCACAAGGGTGGAAGGGGCAGATGTTGGTCCGAGTCTGGGTGTATCTATAAAGGAGAGCAAGTGGGATTGATCACTGAGGTGGAGATGGTGTGTGAGCGAGAGAAACAGATGAAGGGTGATGCTGAGAAGTTGTGTGGTGGTTAAAGAGTAGAGTAGAGCTGTTGTTTACTGGGGTGGAGATGCCAGGTGGAGAAGGAAATTGGGCTGGGAAACCAGGTCTGTTGTGGAGAGGGCAGGTTAGGGGTGCTCAGAGTTCTGTGCTGTATCATTACCTCTACTCCCCTCACGCCAGCCACAGCAGTGCATCCGTGGGGAGGCCTGTCTTCCTGCAGAATCAACCCTGATCTCCTCCACCTCACTCCCACCCACCGGTGTTCACAACCTTTAGCTGTTTCCCTTGTGTCTGTCTCTGTCCTCTGAAATGCTTTTACCCAACTACAGCGTAGGTTCCGTGAACAGGAGGAACATGATTGTGTACCTCCAACTCTGGCACCATTCCCAGTACACAAAAGTCATCAGTAAGGATCTGTGGAATGAATGAGTCTGTCCCTCACCAATTTGGGTGAGGTGGTCCTCCAACCTGTGGTCTGCTGCTCACAGGAAGTATCTTGCATTTTTAATCTCTGCATGATTTGCAAAGCCAATATTTAGAAAGTAGCCAAATCTGTATTTATTCATTGTGATTGACATAAACTTGCTTTTTAAAAAAATTTTTTTTTAATGGACGTACCAGGCATTGAAGCCAGGACCTCATGCGTGCTAAGCATGCGCTCTACCACTGAGCTATTTCTTTCCCTTTCATCTTGCCCCAACCTTGTGTTTTTACACTATTTTTCTTTTGCCTTGATTGTATTGTTTTTTCCAATGTGCAAGGGACATTTAAACATGAGTTCTATTTATACTGATAACATAAGGTTGTCACTAGAAAGACACCTCATAGCAAGGTATTAAAAAAATTTATGCTTCTTTTCTTTCCTAGAAATCTGGAAAGTTGACGATCACCTGCTGGAGCACTTACAAAATGAGAGCACGGAGAAGAGACCAGAACAACGGCATGAACACTGTCCACTGGAAAATTCTGTTCTTCAGAGCGGAACTCATTTTCTGTTCAGGCAAAATCAAATGTTTGATTTACACAGAAAAAGTCTGAAATCACATTTAACTTTACTTCACCAAAGAAGGAGCTATGAGATGAACCCAGCTGAGGTTATTGGAGATGGGAAATCCTGTCTCCATGCCAACAGTGAACAATTTCATACTGAAATTCAGTTTCCCAAAAGCCAGAAACTTATCAGCACTAAATCCCAATTCATCAGGCATCAGAAAACTCAAAAAATAGAGAGGCCTCACGTGTGTGGTGAATGTGGGAAAGCTTTCATCAAGAAGTCCTGGCTCACTGATCATCAGATAATTCACACGGGAGAGAAGCCCCATCGATGTAACCTGTGTGGGAAAGCCTTCTCCAGAAAGTTCATGCTCACCGAACATCAAAGAACCCACACAGGAGAAAAGCCTTACGAATGCACGGAGTGTGGCAAAGCCTTTCTCAAGAAATCAAGGCTCAATATCCATCAGAAAACCCACACGGGAGAGAAACCGTATGTGTGCAGTGACTGTGGGAAAGGCTTCATCCAGAAGGGCAATCTCATTGTACATCAGCGGATTCACACAGGCGAGAAACCTTACATATGCACTGAATGTGGAAAAGGCTTCATCCAGAAGACATGCCTCATAGCCCATCAGAGATTTCACACAGGAAAGACTCCTTTTGTGTGTAGTCAATGTGGAAAATCCTGTTCCCAGAAGTCAGGTCTCATTAAACATCAAAGAATTCACACAGGAGAGAAACCCTTTGAATGCAGCGACTGTGGGAAAGCCTTCACAACAAAGCAAAAGCTCATTGTCCATCAAAGGACTCACACGGGAGAGAGACCCTATATCTGCAGTGAGTGTGGGAAAGCTTTTGCCTACATGTCTTGCCTGGTTAAACATAAGAGAATACACACAAGAGAGAAACGTGGAGATACAGTCAAGGTGGAAAATCCTTCCACAGAGAGTCCCAGCTCCTCACAGAGTAGTGAGCCCGTGCAGGAGAAAAACGTTAATACGGTGACAGCGCGGGTGCCTTCTGCGGCCCCTCAGACACCCGTAAACCTCAGCGAGCTCCTGGCAAACAGGAACGTAGTCCTAGTGGGACAGCCTGTGGCCAGATGTGCACCCGCAGGAGATAACAGAGGGTTTGCCCCGGAGAGAAGCCTTATGAATGCAGTGAATGTGGTCGTGCCTTCAGTCGTCAATTATGTCTTATTTTATGTCACAGAAAACCAGTAGGAAGAGAAATTCAGAGCCCTACTATGTGTAAAAGATATAAATTATTGAGCAAACATTTCTAGCTCATATCATGGCTGGAAAGTCTATACTGAGAGACACTGTATAAATCTTGAGACTGGGAATCGTGCTAAATAAAATGCATTGATGCAAAGGCATAATCTGAGGGCGACACCAGCACACACACACCAGTCACTTTTTTGTGTCCGTTAAATGAAAGAAGCCTGAGTTCAACTAAGTGGAGGAAATAAGTAGGTGAAGTTTTTAAACATAAACGTGGAAGGTTGTATGGACAAAAAGCCACAACAGGGCTCATATTGGATCAGCAGGATATGGGGCATGTATATATCACTTCAGTTTCCCCAGGCCAAGGTGAAGGATCCGTTGAAAACTGGGATGTCTTCCTTAAACTTTTAGAAATGCAGGTTATGCAAAGGGACTTAGGTGGAGCCAGTTTGGGTCTTAGATCGAGTCCGTTTGTTGAGGTACTGAGTATCTGTGGAATGCTTCTTTTTCACTGGGTCCTGTTCTAGGAGTGAGGACACCATGGTGACCAAGCCCATGGTCTCCTGGAGAGAGCTTTGAGGTAACTGGATTATCTTTCCATATCAGCTAATCTGGTAAGAGGATGTCAGTATGTACACCAGGTGAAACAGGTATTTTCTTAGTTTCTGGTTGTGGTAAAATAATACCATAGCCGAGGTAGCTTATAAAAACAAATTTATTTCTCACAGTCCTGGAAACTACAAAGTCTGAGATTAAGATGCCAGCAGATTCAGCGTGTAACACAGGCTGTTCACAGAAGACAGTCATTTTCATTGTGACCTCACACAGGAAAGGGCAGAGGTGCTCTTTCCGATGCCTTTTAGAAAGGTACTAATCCCATTCACGAGGACTCCATCCTCATCAACCAGTCACCCCTCAAAGGCCTCACTTCTCAACCCCTTCATATTTTGGATAAGGCTTCCAAGTACGAGTTTTGGGGGGCGTAAACATTCAGTCCATAGCAAATATGGAGTATTGGTTCAAGGGGTTACAAAAGTTTCTTGTTTAAGTGGTATATTATTTTGAGGGATGGCATGGACCACTCTTAATGGGCTTTAAGCACTTGAAGATACAAGTAAGTTATTTTTTTTAAATGCCTGTGTCTTATCTCCCAAGTAGATTAAAAATTCCTTGATGATTTTTTTTTTGCTATTTAAATGTTAAAGCTTAGAAACAATTAGTTCCTTACTTGCACTAAATCATGTTTCAAGTGGTCAGCAGCCGTAGGTGACTAGAGGCTCCCACATCGGACAGCCCAGATAATGGAGCAAAACTTTGTAGCTAAGTACATGGCTGAAAAGTATCTCCTGAGAGAAATCGGTCCTTTCCATAATCCTAGAAAGTTATGTTGGCGAGCCCTGGTTTACATGATTTTAATATTTCCCAGCATGGAAAAATTAAGACATCATGTATTGATTTCAAAGATGAATGAGCTATTGGGCTTATCAGAATATTCTGTCATTGAAGGCCGTGAGTCATTGGAAGGCCGTCCTGAAGAACACGGCTGTCTTCCCCAAACCATGTGTGGTTAGAGACATGGTAACAGTATCAACTGGACAGAGCAACAAAGCAAAAGGAGCCTCTTAATAAACAGCAGAACAAGAATCTTAGTCTCTAAGAATGGAGGAGAATACAGGGGATGGGAGGTGACATTCTTAAACGATGCCGTGGATTCAAAAATTCCAGCTTCTCTGTTACCTGCTGAATTGACCCATGTGGTTTTTCCTCATTATTCCTTCTCCGTCCTGGGAGCCGGGCTCTTGGCCTCTCCCTCTCCAGAATCCTTTCCTAACTATCCCGTAGTTAGCCACCTACCCAAGTTATAAACAGTGAGTCCGGCTCGTAGGGAAGGAAATGGAAGTTTGACACTCTGTGGCTGTCTCAGAATTCAACCTTAAAAGCTAGGTTATTCACTCCAGGTATATTTTAAAGCAGCAACACTGTTACACACTGAAGATAACAGTGAACAAAACGGGCAAAGGAACAGCCTTTCTGGATGTTACAGGATAGCAAGGGAGGGAGACACTAAAGGGATTATGTCAGGAAGTGGTAAGTCCTTTGAAGAAAAATAAAGCCCAGTAACAGTAGTTTATAATAATTTACTGGTAATGATGGGGAAGGTGCCCCCACCCCGCTTCTCTGGATATAGTCCAAGCCAAGACTGAAGTGCTGAGGGGAGGCCCCCATCATAATATTTGTAACGAGAGAAATTCCAGCACTGTTTCCAATGACTGTATATGACAGGCTTCCTGCCGCGGATTTTCTGAGAAACTGAATGCAAATTTCCCAGTCCCATCCCACATCTCCTAAAGCAGAACCTCTGGGGCTGGAATCCAGCACTCAGCGTTTTTAACAATGACCTGATGCACACCCAATTTTGACATTCTTTGCCCTAAATCCTGGATTACTGTATCCATCATCACCCTTGCGTTATGAGGATGGATTCAGGTTGTGCTTTCCCCACTGACTCCAAACCTTCACTGGACTCGCTTTTAGTGGCCTATTCCAGTCACAACTTAGGCTCGCCCCGGCAGCCTTTTTCCCTAGTTGATGGCCAGCCCCACAGTGTACCAGTTTCTGGAAATCTTTTTGTTTTACAAAAGCACAATTTTATTTATTTTTTTTAAATATTTAAGTACAATTACAATGTGTCAATCTCTGGTGTACAGCACAATGTCCCAGTCATGCAGATACATACATATATTTGATTTTCATATTTTTCCTATTAAAGGTTATTACAAGATAATTGAACATAGTTCCCTGCGCTATACAAAGGAAACTTTTTAAAATCTATTTTCATATATAGTGGCTAACATTTGTAAATCTCAAACTCCCAAATTTATCCCTTCCCGTCGCCTTTCCCTAGTAACCATAAGATTGTTTACTAAGTCAGCGAGTCTCTTTGTTTTAAAAACAGCTTCCTGCAGCCTATTTTCCGGCAGGAATCTTTCCGTGGTGTTCGTTTACCGGGTGTATTATCTTTTCTCTTTCTAGGAGTGCGTTCTCCAGTGCCTACCGACACCTGAACTGCTTCCCCGTTTGGAAACTTTTGTTTGTTTGTTTGTTTTTGTTTTTTTTAATACAAAGCGGATAATTTACGCCGCGGCCATGTTACTTCTCTGTTTAGCCCACCGAAAGCTTCTTAGTCTGCACCATGTTTGCCTTGCGAGGCTTGAGACTGAAATTTTACCTGTTTTCTGCAAGAGTCCCAGCGCCAGCAAATGAGATAACTTCAGGGGCTTCTCACCTGCCCGACCATCTCTGGCTCCTGGTCCCCAAACCCGCCCTCTTTGCCTTCTGTACGTCAGGTGTCTCAACATGGCTGCCCCCAGGTAGCAGCGACCTGGACGCGGACATATTGCCTCCCAAGGACACACCGGAAATCCGGTCTCCGCGTTTCCTCAAACACCGCAGGTCCACTTCGGCCGCCGTAGACAGAGGTGGACGAGTCTAGAAATCCAAGCAGTTCACGGAAGTACGACGTTTAGAGTTCTAGTCGGTCTGGGGAAAATTAGGTCAGTGTGTGGTTTTGTCTCTGGATTTTTTTTCCTTTGGTCCCACTGGTGGTTTTGTTCTACCCAGGGTGCCGAGTGGACGTGGAGCAATCTGGACCCGTGGGATTATTGCCGGGGGCGGAGGGAGAGGGTAGAACCGTCTAGACGAAGGTATTTAACGGGAACCAGGTGGGAACCGGATATGAGGGATTTGAGGGGAACCAGACGCGGGTTTTGTCTGTGGTTGGGACTGGGGGTGTCTTGGGAGTCAGTACGATGAAGAGTCTCGAGACCAGTGCCCTTGTCACAGTTGTCAGGGTGTGGGTTTCTGCAGGTCGCGCCGCTTGCAGGGCTGCAGGTGGCATTTACGATGATCGCAGTGTATGGTTCAGGTTGGGGGTTTCATTTGGGACTCAGTGGTTTGGGGACCGGGGTGGTCACATGTGAGTGTCTGGGCCGGATTTCGGATTAATAAGGAAGTGTGTACTCGGTGTCTGCCGTATAAAGAGGCTTCTGAGGGCTGAAGCTTTGTACGCCCAGGACCCCTGGCTGGAGGTTGGGATAAAGTTCCAACTTAGGCTGCTGGAACAGCAGGCGGTACAGCCCAGGGCAGGAGTTCAAAACCATCTGATTTTTAGCTTTTAATGAAAAATTTGACTCGACTGAGGGACTAAACCAGCAACGCCTATCTGTTTTGTATCGTCTGTGCGGCTTTCGCGCTACAAAGGCAGAATATAGTCGTGACAGAGACAATTTGGTCCCTAAAGTCGAAAGTCTATGTCTGTTGTCTTTGCAGAAAATGTTTGCCACTCACTTGCTAATATGTAGAAACGGGCACTGTTAACTTACTTCCCTGACATATTTGAACACTTTGTTCTTTGCTGACAGAATCTCCATTTGGTTTAGTTATCTATCCGTCTGGCAAGTTGATGTCCCAGTTTATTAGTAAGTCCTGGTTGGTCTTAGACAATCATGTGGTTCGAGTTCCCGTTGCTAGTGATTGAATTAGTGCTAAGAAATGAGCCTAGGTGCATGGGCAGTTCTAGCCAGCTCTATATGTAAAAATCTGCTTTGGGGTTTCTGGGGCAGTCTTAGCCTTCTCTCTTTTAAATAAGTAATTCCTTGAATCTCTTTTTCCATATCGATAGTGGTATTGATGAAAATGTTCGGTCCTTGTATATGTATGTATAACTGAATCACTCTATGCTGTATATCATAAACTAACACAACATTGTAAATCAGCTGTTCATCTATTTTAAAATGTGTAAAACAAAAACAAACAAAAAAGAAAATGTTCGATCCTACTTTCTAGTGTTTATAACTCATTCTTATTTTAGTGCATTGGCTCAACTCTGCAGTACAAAGTTGAAAAGTAGGGATGATATTGAACATCTTTGTCTTGTTGCCTGCTCATAAATTCACCTGCTGTCTTGTCTGAAATTGACATGTTTTCAGGAGGATAAATCTAGGATTTCAGATTTAAGGACATAAAGATATTTATGGTGCTGTTTCAGATCAAAACCCATATTTTATCTGAGTTATGTCTCCCATTAATTCCTTATATCCTTTATTTGCACTTTCTCCTTTGACTCTAAATATGTATGCTTATTGGCCTTTTCAAATAACAGCTTTTAGTATTTTTGAGCTCTTCTATTTCTTTGTTAATTTAAAAGATCTGCAAGCTAGTATAAAAGAAATATGTTCATTTAGATAGACAGTACCCAGGTCAAGATACAGAACACTGCCAGCACCCCGGTGGTGTTCTGTAAGCCTCTTCCCAGTTATATTACATCCTCACTCCCAGAGGTAAATACTATCTTGTCTGAAGAGCAAGCACTTTCAGGCTTTTCTTTATGGTTTTATAATATAATTTAATCATTTTCTAATCATTATAGTTTATTTAGTTTTGCCTGTTTTCAATTGTGCATCAGTGTAACTTTACATCATGCATTTTTTAATGTCAGTCTTCTTTTGCCCAGTGTTTGTGAGACTCATTCATGCTTTTGCACATAGGTGTATTTTTTTCCCTCTGTAACAAGGATCGGGCACATGTATTATGTAAATATCCGCACAGTAAATACTTTGGGATTTGCAAGCCACAGACATTTGCTCACATATGCTGCTGCTTTTTTGGTTTTTTGCCTGATAGATTCCCAGATCTGTTTTACCTTTATTTTATTTACTTATTTATTTTTAAAGCTGAGTACAATCCTTTAAAGTGTAGTTGGTTTATGATGTGTTAATTTCTGGTGTACACTATAGTGATTCAGATATACGTATATATACGCATATATACATATATTCTTTTTTGTGTTCTTTTTCATTATAAGTTATTACAAAGTACTGAACATAGTCCCTGTGCTGTGCAGTAGGACCTTGTTGTTTATTCACATATATTTCTTTTTGTTTATTTATTTACTTGGTTTACATTCTTTAAAAATTTTTTTTGGGGGGGTGGGTAATTAGATCTGTTTGTTTATTTATTTATTAATAATGAGGTACCGGGGATTGAACTCAGGACCTCATGCATACTAAGCAGGCACTCTGCCACTGAACTATAACCTCCCTCCATATACTTCTTTATTTGTTTTACAATCCCTTTATTTTTAGGAGAGTTGCTTTTATTTGTTTTTTATTTTGTAATTTAAAAGTATTTTCCTTTTTTTAATTTACAGTGTATTCATTTCTGGTGTACAGCATAGTGATTCAGTTGTGTATACACACACACACACACACACACACACACACACACGTTCTTTTTCATTCCATTGAATGAAAAATAGTTCCCTGGGCTGTGCAGTAGAACCTTGTTGTTTACCTATCCACATATACTTCTTTATTTTTTACAATCCTCCCAAAATGTAAAAAGCCTTCTTAACGTGCAAGCTGAGCAAAGATTGTAATTTTTCCATAGCTTTCCATTGTTTGAGTATATGGTTTTTATACTGTTTATTAAACTTGTATTGTTTGCAGTTTGGTTAATTGTGAATAATACTGCTGTGAAAATTTGTGTCCACGTCCTCTTGTCCAAATATGCTCATATTTTTTAAGGTGTGTATATCTCAGATGCATGCTTCAGAGTGGAGTGGCTCCTGAGTTTGTAGACGTGTGGCTGTGAAGGGAGAGTGGCGCTCCCATTCAGGGCGTGGAGGCTCCTCCATGCTTCACACACACCCTGCCCCAGGCATCTCTTCCATCTGGCTGTTCCTGAGTTATAATAAGTAAATATAGTCAGGAAAATGTTTCTCTGAGTTCTTTGAGCTGCTCTGGTAAATTAATCAGTCCTAGGATTTGGGGGGGAGTCATTGGAACCTGTGATCCGTGGCCAGTAGGTCAGAAGCACAAGTGACAAGCTGGACTTATGTTCGCACAGGAAGTAGGAGGTGGGGACCAGTCTTGGAGGATGGAGCGGTTAACCTGCGGGATCTGGTTTTATCTCCAGGTAGGTAGTGTCAGAGCTGAGGAGAACTGCAGGACACCTAGCTGGGGGTGTAGAATTGTTTGGTGGTGTGTTAAAAACACACACACACATATTCCAACTCAGAATCATACCTTCTTTTGGATGAGTTTCTTATTATCACATTTCCATCTTCTCGTAACACCACAAATAATGTACTTTTAAGAAAATTACTAGCACCTCAGTTTCATTTGCCACCTACTAATTTATGTACTATTAATTTATATTTTAATTTTTTATGTATTTAAAACCTCCTAAGATATTATCATCATTGCTTAGAAGACAATGCCTCTGGTTTGCCCAGTACATTGGTTTCCAACTGAAGTGTGTGTACCTGCAGGGCATACACAAACGTTTAAAGAGGTACCTGAGCACACAGGGTTTAAAGGAAAACAGCGCCCAGCTCCCCTCCTTCCAGATGGTCCCTTTGTGTAACTGAGCTTCCTGAGGTTCTCCTGCTCCGGAGGCTGCTGGGATGGGTCTCAGTTACCCTGTGTCCTTCGACAGCCACCCCACTTCAGCTTCATGGAGTAAAGGAACACCCCCACTACGGTCAGAGTCTTAGGCTTTTTGGCCAAAGGTATAAAATCTTCTGGGACACCAAGGTAAGGGACACTTAGTGATGCTGTGGGCATTGGGTTCAGGTGAGTTTCAGGAGCAGCGGTAGCATCTGGGCCCAGAGGAAATGTACGTGCAGCTTGAATTTTCTCCTCAACCCACAGGTCCTGCCTCCCCAGGAGCAAAAGCATCAGTTGAAGAGGAAGACTATATAGCATTTCTGGGGACATGCTCAATTAAAGACAGATTTCAGAACAGAAATTCAAAGCAGATCCAGGAGACACAAGGACAGAGCCTGCGCATCGCCAGGTATTTTCGGAGAACGGAAGGAAATGATCCAGGCCCAGGTGACTTGTGGTTTGTTTTCTTCTTTCTTTTGTTCACTAATGCATTTGTAGATGCCTGTAAAAAATCACTTCCATTAATCTATAGGTATAAATGTGTGTATCTTTTGTCTGTCGTGTGTATATATGAATGTTGTATTTCTAGATTAACGAGATTTAACTTCTGCACATTATAGAAACTTCTAACTGGACAAATGGATGGATGGGTGACTCACCATTAGAGACTATTTTGTTAGACATTTGCTTCTTCAATGATATATTGAAATCAAAACCCTACTAGAGAGGGAGGGTACAGCTCAGTGGTAGAGCGCCTGTTTAGCATGCGTGAGGTCCTGGGTTCAGTCCCTAGTACCTCCATTAAAAATGAGTAAATAAACCTAATTACCTCCCCTCCAAAATAAAATTAAAAAAAATTATTCCTAAGCACAAAACAAAACCAAAAATAAAATTAAAAAAATACCTACTAGATATCTTGATGCAGCCTATAAAGTGGAAATGAGCTGAAAAACGTGAACATTTCTTCCGTATCATGAAAAGGGCATCACTGCATTAAATTCCACTGTTATTACAGGAATCCCTGACATTTGACGATGTGGCCGTGGACTTCACGTGGGAGGAGTGGCAGCTCCTGGCGCCTGCCCAGAAGGCCCTGTACCGGGACGTGATGCTGGAGAACTACAGCCACCTGGTGTCTGTGGGTGAGGACGCTCCCCGGGTCACTCGGAGGGGCCGCAGTCAGTGGCCTTTCCTTTCTCAGCGTCTGGGAGCTCTGGAGCGTCTGGTGCTCCGACGCGGTAGATTCTCGGGCCCACAAGAAGTGGGTGTATTCTCCCTTCTCCTGAGAGAAGAGCCTGTACTTTGCAGGCTGTGACATCGTTCAGTCCTCACAGGTCGCGTTCTGCTGTCTTCACAGACCCCACGTCCAACTCAGTAGGTCTGCGTCTTCTCTCATTTTCCATGAACAGGGTATGAAGCCAGCAGGCCAGACGTACTCTCCAGGTTGGGTCAAGGAGAAGCCTGGACGATAGAAGATGAAGTCCCCTGTGGGACCCGTTCAGGTGAGCGTGAGACGGGCCAGGCGACAAGCCATGGAAAGGACGTTCTGGCTGGTCCGAGCAGAGTCACAGTTGTCAGGGGGGTTGGGACGGGTAAGCAGGGCCTCCATGCATCTCTCCTGTTGTGAGACCTCTTTTTTTAAAAACTTTTTTTGCAGGGGAGGCAATTAGATTGATTGATTGATTTTTAACGGAGGTCCTGGACCTCGTGCATGCTAAGCACAGGCCCTGCTACTGAGCCATGCCCTCCCCCTCCCGAGACCTCTTTCTCTTTGTAGACATTTAGAGAAACATATGTCCCTTCTTAGAGAAGACACTGTCTCTTCTGGGATCTGTTTTTTCTTTATTTTACCCACCTCCTGATTTCTTGTTTGCACAGTTTTCTTTTCCCTGGGTCCTCAAATCCCTCCCTTCTGTATACTCTCCCTTCCCTTGCTGTGAAATTGCACCTGCCGAGGCCTCTCTCCAGAGACAAAACTGAATTCCTCCCTGTCCTCTAACCACTGCACCTTTCCGCTCTCAGTTCCAGCCTACACCTCATCATAACTCTTGCTAAGTTCGAATTCATTCCTTTGTGTATTTACTAATTTTGAACTTTCTTCTCATTCATTATAGACAGTACCGTTGTATTTACTTCTGGAAAGCTTCCCCCCCCCATATTCTGATATCATTAAGTCCCAGTTAACCGCGTTACCTGTCACATGACAGGAAATTCCTCCTTCCAAGATCTCTGTGATACATCTGCTTGCTCAGAGGGATTTCCACCTTCTTGCCTAAACCTCCCAGTCTGTTCCATACATGTGATTGCGTCCTTGATTCATTCCTGTAGGAATGATTTTTTCAGTAGTCTAGTGTATGCTGGAAGGTAACAGCAGTTGAAAAAACAAATAGACCAAGAGCTTTCATTCTAAGAGGACGAGACATAAAATTAATCAAAATTAAAAAAAAAAAGTGTAGCGGGTGAAAAGCGCTGTGGTGAAATTAAGTTGCGTAAGGGAACAGTAGGGGCTGAGGCACCTCTTTTAGGAAAGGGAACGTCTCCGAGGTGTAGTTTGCAAGTTAGACGTGCTCGGGGTTCTCTGCTGTGTCCTTTTCCTAATGTCCCTCGCGTCACCCACAGCAGTGCCTCCGTGGGGAGGCCTGTCTTCCTCCAGGATGAACCCCGATTCGTCCACCTCTCTCCCTCTCCATCGCTCCCACCAGTGCTCACAGCTTCCAGCTGTTTTCCCTGCATCTGTCCCTGCCCTTTCAACTGGGTTTTAAAAAAGAATGAAATAATGCCATTTACAGCAACATGGATGAACCTAGAGGTGGTCATACTAAGTGAAGTAAGTCAGACAGAAAGACAAATATCATCTCTCTTATATGTGGAATCTAAGAAAACTAAAGAAGTTTTAGTTTCTATACAAAACAGAAACAGATTCACAGATACAGAAAACAAATTTACAGCTACCTAACGGGGAAAGGAGGGAGGGATAAATTAGAAGTTTGGGATGAGCAGATACAAACTGCTATGTATGAAATAGATAAACAGCAAGGACTTACTGCAGAGCACAGGGAACTGTATTCACTATCTTGCAATAACCTATAATGGAAAAGAACCTGAAAAAGTAGAACTGAATCATTATGCTGTACACATGAGACTAACACAACATTGTGCATCAAGTATACTTCAATAAAAAAATCAGCCAGTGGTTTTAGCAAACCGTAGTGCAGGCTGCAGGCACTGGGGGAGTGTGTTTGTGAGTTCCCAAGACTAGCATCGCTCCGGGAAAGGCGGTCATCTGTAAGGGTCTGGGGAATGAGCGGGTCTGTCGCGTACCAGTTCGGGTGAGGCAGTCCTGCAAACTGTGCTCTGCTGCTCACAGGAAATCGTATTCAGAAAGTAGCCAGATCTGTATTTATTCATTATGACTGTTTTTCTCTGACGTACAAAGAACATCAAACATGGGGTTTTATTTACACTCATACCATGAGGTCGTCACTAGAAAGACACCTCACGTCGAAGCGTTTTTAAAGATAAACCTTTATTCCAAATCAGGACGTTGGAAGAATTCATTCTTCTTTTCTTTCCTAGGAATCTGGAAAGTTGACGATCACCTGCGGGAGCACCTGCAAAATGAGAGCACGGAGAAGAGACCAGAACGGTGGCACGAACACCGCCCACTGGAAAATTCTGTTCTTCAGAGCAGAGCTCACTTTCTGTTCAGGAAAAATCATGACATGTTTGACTTACGTGGAAAAAGCCTGAAATCGCATTTAACTTTTCTTCACCAGAGCAGGAGCTACGAGATAAAGAACCCAGCTGAGGTTACTGGAGATGGGAAATCCTGTCTCCGTGCCAACGATGAACCATTTCATACTGAAACTCAGTTCCCTGAAAGCCAGAAACTTGTCAGCACTAAGCCCCAGTGCATCAGGCATCAGGAAACTCAAAAAATCAAGAAGCCTCACGTGTGCGGTGAATGCGGGAAAGCTTTCATCAAGAAGTCCTGGCTCACTGATCACCAGAATCTCCATACGGGAGAGAAGCCCCATCGATGTAACCTGTGTGGGAAAGCCTTCTTCAGAAAGTTCAAGCTCACCGAACATCAAAGAACCCACACAGGAGAAAAGCCTTACGAATGCACGGAGTGTGGCAAAGCCTTTCTCAAGAAGTCAGGGCTCAATGTACATCAGAAAACCCACACGGGAGAGAAACCATTTATATGCAGTGAGTGTGGAAAGGGCTTCATCCAGAAGGGCAATCTCATGGTACACCTGCGGATTCACACAGGCGAGAAACCTTACATATGCACTGAATGTGGAAAAGGCTTCAGCCAGAAGACATGCCTCACAGCCCATCAGAGATTTCACACGGGAACTACCCCCTTCGTGTGCGGTGAATGCGGGAAGACGCTCTCTCAGAAGACAGGTCTCATTAAGCACCAGCGGACTCACACAGGAGAGAAACCCTTTGAATGCAGCGACTGCGGGAAAGCCTTTATCGAGAAGCCCCAGCTCATTATACATCAGAGAATTCACACGGGGGAGAAACCCTATAGCTGCAGTGAGTGTGGGAAATCATTCAGAGGGAAGTCAGTCCTCAACAAACATCAGAAAACGCACGCCGTCAAGGTGGGACACCCTCCCTCGGAGAGTCACAGGTCATCCCAGAGCAGTGTGGTGCTCCAAGAGAAAAACCTTAATACGGTGACAGTGCAGGTGCCTTCTGTGGCCCCTCAGACACCCGTAAACCTCAGCGAGCTCCTGGCAAACAGGAACGTAGTCCTAGTGGGACAGCCTGTGGCCAGATGTGCAACCGCAGGAGATAACAGAGGGTTTGCCCCGGAGAGAAGCCTTATGAATGCAGTGAATGTGGTGGTGCCTTCAGTTGTCAATTATATTTTATTTTATGTCACCGAAAACCAGTAGGAAAAAAGTCAGACGGTCTAGAGGAAAGGGGTTGAGTGAAAATTTCTAGCTCTTATCGTGGCTGAGGAGTGTGTACTGAGAGAGGCTGTGTAAATGCTGGGACTGGGAACGCGTGACACATGCATCCTGTTAAATGTGTGCATTGATACAGAGGCGTAATCTGATGTTAACCCCAACACACACAACGTCAATTGCTCTATCGTGTCAAATAAATGAAGCCTGCGTTCAACTAAGTAGAGGAAACAAATAGGTGAAGTTTTTAAACGTATAAATATGTGGAAGGTTGTTATGAACAAAAAGCCACAACAGGGCTAATACTGGATCAGTGGGCTCCGGGGCGTGTATGTGTCACTTCCGTTTCCCCAGGCCAGGTGAAGGGTTCGTTGAGAACTGGGATGTCTTCCTTACACTGTTAGAAGTTTATATTATTGCAGAGGGACTTAGGAAATAACAGCCTTAGGCTGAGTCGGTTTGTTCATTCACGGTGTTTGTCAAATCCTTCGTCTGTACTTGGTTCTGTCCTAGAAGCTGAGGATATTGTGATGATCACACAGAAAAAGCCCACGGTGTCCCGGAGAGACCACTGAGGGAGTCGGATTATCTTTAAGTGTGAGCTCTACACTCAAGTGAATTTAGTGAGAGGTTGTAAATACCTGTTTCAAGTGAAATGGACAGTCATTGGTTCAGGGGAATATGACCATTTATTATTGAAGGAGCATGTTATCTTGGGGGTTGGGGATGGACTTTTTTTTAAAATAACATTAGCTTTATTAAAATTTATTTTGTTTTCATTTTAATTTTGGAGGGGAGGTAATTAGGTTTACTTATTTATTCATTCTTAGAGGAGGTTCTGGGGATTGAACACAGGACCTTGTGCATGCTAAGCATGCACTCTACCACTGAGCTATACCCTCCCCTTGGGGAAGGACTCTTAATAATGGTACTTAAGCACCATGAACACGAATAAGTTATTATTTTTTAAATGGAGGCACTGGGGATTGAACCCAGGACGTGTTGCATGCTAAGCATGTGCAGTACCACTGAGCTATGCCTGTTTGTTACCTCCACAAGGAGGTTATAAGTTCCTTAATTTTCGTGGCTTTACTCAAACTTTAATGTTTAAAAAAATTGCAAACCAGTAAGATGAAAAATCAGTTCCTCAGTTGCACTAGCCACATTTCAGGTGCTCAGCAGACACGTGTGACTGGTGGCTGTCGAGCTGGACAGCACAGACAAGGAGCAAAATGGTGAGACAATGGAAAAATTCTCTAGCATCATTTCCATTGTTCCAAAAGTTATGTTGGCAAGTGCTGGTTTCCATGGTTTTTTATTTCTCAGCACTAAAGCCCTTACCGTACATAGATTTGGAAACTGAATGAATAAATGAACGGGCTAATCAAAAAGTATTCTGTCACTGAAGGGAATGACGGTGCTAAAGAACAAAACTGGCACCCCAGACTGGGATCAGAGAGACATAACTGACTTTAAAGGGACAAAGCAGGAAAGGAAAATGATTCCTGGAATAAACAGAACAAACGGTGAAGTAAGAGCCTTCGTCTTTAAGAGCAGTGTCGAGCGTAAGGAATGGGAGGAAGGTGAGATCTTTTTGGAATGTCTTGGAGACGAAGCCTTAGATTTGTCCTCAGGTGTATCACCTGTGAAGAGTTGCCATTTACAGATTCCCAGCTTGGTGGGGAGGGTATAGCTCAGTGGTAGAGCGCATGCTCAGCATGCGTGGGGTCCTGGGTTCAATCCCCAGTACCTCCATTAAAAAAAAAAAAGGATCTCGGCTTATCTGCTTATCTGGGACCTGCTGAACTGAGACAGGTGACTTCTATCCCCCTCGTTCTTTCCCACTGTCCTGAGAGTCGGGTCTTTGCTTTCTCCTTTATGCAGAATTCTTTCCCATGATCCCATAAAAACAGAAGATACGGTTACAAACAGTGAGTCCTACTCATAGGAAAAGAAATGGAAATGTGCCACGCTGTGGCCGACTCAGAAGTCAGTTGAAATCTTGGGTTTGGGTAGTTAACTCCAGAAATATTTTAAAAGCACCATCACTGTGCAAGTCACTGTTTTACCCCTCAGGAAACATCAGTGAACAAAACAGGCAAGGGAACAGCCTTCATGGTGGACCGTCCAATCTAGTGAAGGAGAGAGGCGGTAAATGGATTTTAAAATGTCAGGAAGTGATAAATCCTACGAGGTGAAATAAAGTCTAGTAATAGATAGTAATTTATAGTAATCTGTAGGTCACAGTGAGGGAGACTTCCCCTTCGCCAGGGAAAGGCTTTTCTGGATATAATTTGAGCCGAGATTTAAGTACTGAGCGGAATCACCCGTCATAATATTTGTAGCCAGAGAACATTCCAGGACTGTTTTTGACAACTGTCTCTGACGAGCTTCCTGCCTTGGATTCTCCGAGAAACTTAATGCCAATTCCTGAATCTCACCCCACATCTCCTAAACCAGAACCTCTGGGGCTGGAGCCCAAGAGCCTGCATTTTCAAGAAGGGCCTGATGCACACCTCATTTTGAACATATTTGTCCTAAATCCTAGATTACTGTCCCTGTCACCACTGTCACGTTATAATGGGATGGGTTCAGGGCAGAGAGTCTCCAGCAAAGAATGTCATGAGCTCTCCGGCGACCAGACCCTCTGCTCCCCTCCACTTTCTGGCCTGTGAATCTCCACTTCCGGCCGTGGCAGGGCCAGGCCAGCTCACTGCTGAACTGATCAGTCGGGGCCCCTGTATCTTCCGATCTTCTGGGTCTTCATCCTTCATTTTCTTCAATGATCACTTCTTCAGTGAAGCTTGCCCTCACTCGGCCAGGTCCCCCAGTTTCTAGCCCTCCGCAGAACTGTGTCCTCTCCTTATCAGCACTTTATAGATATGGGCAGTTGTACTTTTCCTGGATTTAGATGTGTATTCCCGATCAGGATTGGACTGAAATTGAGTAGGTCATATTGTCATGCGGTTCAAAACTTAAACTATGTAAAAAAGGTGCATTTATGAGTCTCACTTTTACCCTCTCGGTTTTCCCTTGATCTGCCTCCTACAGGTAAGTTTGTTTATTGTGAATCCTTTCAGCGGTTTTTTTTTTTTTTGGCAGTGTAAGCAAGTAGATGTTATTTTTTGGTCCCTTTTCTTTTCAAAAAGCACATTATGTACATTCTTTTGCACTCCTGCTGTGTTTAATTATTACTGGGCAGCACGGCACCTTGCACGGAACAGGAAGGGAAGACTATCCTGTAAGCCAAATTCAGTTACTCATTTAATAGTCCGTTGTGGGAGCCTCTGTTCTGAGCACTGGGGATACAAAAATATTACAGTTTCTGTCTGAGGATCTCACAGTCCTTTTTGGAGGACAGTCAAGTCAGTGTATTATGATGGTCTAGAAAGAGAAATGATCTTCAGTCACCCCTTGTATAGAGATGTTTTCTCTATTCTCTGTTGCTGATTTCTGTACTTCTTGTCCTTAGCAACACAACATGGTTGCAGTTTTACATTTGATAATTGTATTACTGTAATTGAGATTGACCTGGAAAGGGGTCCCCTCCTGCTATCTGAAGAAGTGACATCTAAGATGACTCAGGAAAGGACAACCGCAGTAACTAATACTCTTTGACTACTTCCCGTGTGCCAGGCACTTCCAGGAAGGGAAAGCGTTTGCAAATTCCCGGTAGCATACGAGACTACAAGGCATTGGGAACGGGCAGAATAATGTAGGAACTAAGTATAAGGCAAGGAGTAATGGACGATGATAATGGAGAATCTGGTATTTGCTTGTATACAGCCTTAGAAGCATTTTCTTGAGATCTTCCTTTAGTTTGTAATCCATAAATTAATTCAGGGTTTCATGGAGGGTATGGTAATAAAGATGGTTGTGGTATGGGAAGAAAAGGTGGTTAGAAAGCTGCGTACTTGTAAGGACCAGGGAGGTGGCAAATTCAGTAGTAATTCAGATAAATGGACTAAAGCAATGATGGAGAGTACAGGAAGTGATTCAGGAATTATTATTTTATAAAAGTTTTTATTTATTTACTTTTTTTCCTTAAATGGAGGCGCTGAGGATTGAACCAAGGACCTTGTGCACTCCAAGCACGTGCTCTACCACTAAGCTATACCTCCGAGCCCCGGGAATTATTTCTGAGACAGCATTACTAGGAATTGGTGGCCAGTGTGATGATGACATATAGGTTATGTTTTGGCTTCATCCTATATCAGCCTACAATCCAGGTAATTCTCACATCTCCATTCTTGATTTATTGTGTAACAGTGATTGCTGGATGAGAAACAGAATAAGGAAAAAGTCAGTCTGGAAGGATTCCCATTTTATTTTTAAATTTATGTTTATTTAAAAAAAGTTTTGGGGGGAAGTAATTAGGTTTATTTATATATTTTTAGAGGAGGTACTGGGGATTGAACCCAGGACCTCATGCATGCTAAGCATGTGCTCTGCCACTTGAGCTGTACCCTTCTCCCTACTTTATTTTTAATGGAGGTAATGGGGATTGAACCCAGGACCTTGGGCATGCTAAGCATGCACTCTACCACTGAGCTCTACTCTCCCACTCTCCCCTCAAGGATTCCTATTAGAGTTGCTAGTTTGAGGAGGCAGTATGTCTTGATGTTCTGTTAATAAACTCTTAGAATTTAGTGGGTACTTGGAGAAGATTCCAACTCCAAGCCCAAACCACAAATATAATCAAAACTGTCAGTTGCACTTAATCCATTGGAAATTCTAAAGCGAATATGTTTATTAAATTTTGCCGTATGAGGATGATGTTATAAATACTGTTCTGTACGTCAGTAATATTTCATCCTATCAATTAGTCATTTAAAAAATACTGGTAATTCTATAATTGGCTTTTTAATGGCTATAGACTCACCTTGAAGGGATGAATTAATTTACTGAACTATTCACCTGCTGATTGTACATTCAGATTATTACTAGTTTAAAAATTTTTTTACCAAAACTTTTTTAAAAAGTTAAAAAAAAACTTTCTGTGGTTAATATAAAAAGAATTTTTAACAAAGATTCTTAGCATTGGAATTTCTAGATCAACGAGAATGAAAAATTTTATTGTATAGATAATTCCAAATTACTCTCTAAAAAGGATGTACAGATTATCTCCTTAACTACCCCTCCACCTGCATAACATAATGGCTAATATTTCTTAAGTGTGTTTATTTGGGAATGATGCCCCACAATGTAATAGCATACCTCATCATTTAATGGCTCTCAAATGCCCTTCGTTTTTTAAGGAAATGTTTGTATATATTTGAAGCCTCACCCCTCTCGCTTCCCTAGGCTCCTGAGGGCAGCGATATTCCGTCAGCCCGCCCCTTCAACAGGTCCTTGACCAACCTCATCCAGACCGGCCTTCCTCATTCCTATCCCCGCTCGACGTCATTCCCAACTTTCACCAGGGCTCGAAGTCGTGTTTCGCCCACGGTTTGACCGCCGCCTCTCTAACACTTCTCGGCTCTTAAAAACGTCCGAAGGCTCCTTATAGCATTATTAGCTGTTGGTCTCAGCGCCGTACGGGACTGCACTTCCGGAAAGATGGCCGCCCCCATGGCACTCCTCCGGTGTGACTCATGGGCGCCGCCATCTCTCCATTTTGTACGAAAGGATCCAGCCCTCGCCGCCACAACCTTAGATAGGCTTCAGATTGTGAAGAGTTATTCAGTACAGTGCTTCCGACCGACAACGGGGAGGGAAAGGCAGGGAAGTGTCCCAAAGTGGCTTCAATTCTCTGAGCTCTGAGCCACAGCCTCCATGGTGACCACTTCCGGCCCATCGCCGGGGTGGGCGTGGCCACGTTGCGTCATAGAGCTGGGCTAGAGGCCAGAACTCCAACACCCCCAAAACGCGCTGAGGTCCGGCCAGGTCAGAAGCGTCCCTAGCGACAGCCAGAGAGGGGACTAGGGCGCGAGAGTACGACTGGGGATCATTCTGGAAGTGAGTTCAGTCTTTGGTAGCTGCCAGGAGCCTTGAGAACCTCAGCATCAGGTGGGTCCGCATCTTCACGTGGGTCCGTGGGTCCGGACTGAGGGGCCTGTGAGGCCAGTTAAAGGCCTTCTGGGGCTTTCTTTAGGTCCAGTCGCTGGGTGCTCTTGGCTATAGTAATAGGCCCTCGGCAGTCGGTGTTTTTAAGTGTCTGAAGAGATAAATAACCGAAGGTCATGTTGGTGAGGGTTTGTGTTGGGAAGGGTGTGTATCCGCGTGGGTGTTTTGAAACCCAGCCCCCCTAAAACCAAGTTCCCCTGCCGTGTTCATGATTAACCTCTATATTCAAAACTTACTCTTTTTCATATCCTACTCCTGTTAGCCGCAGAATTGAGGAGCATCAAAGAAAAGCGGATATTGAAACTGACCGGGTCCCGGGTAAGGAAGCCCGGCTGTGTCCCCTGTTTCTTGTTTATAGAAAAAGGCTTTGGTCTCCTAGGTCTTCCCTGTATTCCAAAGAGCAGACTAGTTAGGGAAGTGAGGGAGTGCAGAAACACAGGAAAAGCTGTTAGCAGACAATAGTTCACGGAATCCTAGTTCGCGGGATTACACAACTGACGCATATCTTTGAGTTGTTATAAGATGCCAGTTGTGGACAGGATGCTTACAACTTGCTGACCAAAGCAGGTAGACCTCAGACTGGCTGCAGCCAGAAGGTTGATGATTAAGACTTCTGAAACACCTCCCTGTTACTTCACCACCAACCAGTTGGAAGAAAGCCATGCCCCTTGTAGCCCTCACCACAAATGTTGCCTTAAAAGACCCTTCCCTGCATTCATGTCGCATTCATGTCCTCCTCCCCATGAATAGTCCTTAGTTTTACAGTTACAGCTTTATAGCCCTTAATAGTCCTATAAATAGTTTTATATCCTTTCTTTTGTCCAGATCTCTAGTCCAGGTGCTGAGAGTAACGTGATGCTAGTTGGAGACCGAGGGAGAATGAATTTACCCAGAGGTCAAAGAAGAGTTGCTGTAGGGGTCTGTGGCTTTGGGGGTTTAGAAAAGCTACTGGAAAATAAGAGAAGTTTGTGGCTAGAAGGAAATCCATGGTAACTCCACTGAATTAACGACCTTATAATGTGAGTCTTTCTGACTCCTTGTCTCTCTCTGATTTGCTGCTTTGGAGTGAGTGTTGGGACATACTCCTTTTCCATTTCTCTGTGGAAGAAGGGTGCTTGTGTGTGTGTATGTATGTAGTGAGTGTTCTGAGAGCTGTTTCAGAAGTCCAACGAATGGACTATGTCTATATGTTACCTTCTGATGTGAATTTAGGGGTAGTAAATTTTTAGGAAATTCTACACGGAGCTAAACTTTAGAGATTGTTTGGTTAAGAAAGCACAGTAGTTAAGGTTATGAGCTTTGGAGAGAAAAAGACCTGGGTTTTAATTCCAGCACTGCCTCTTAGAAAGTATGCAATTCTGGACAAGGGACTATCTCTAGGTTTTAAGCCTTGACTCTCTTCATGTATATGTGGATCTAGTGATTTGATACTTCTAGACTGGCGGTGAGGGTGAAATTTTTAAACTGCTTATGATTTGCCTAGCACGTTAATCTTTAATGTTGCATTGCCTTTGAAGTCTAGATGATTTGGTTTCCTAAACAAAAGAAAACTTTTAAGCATTGGGATTTTATGTTAGAGGGCAAGTGGACACCTGTATTAGTTTTCTGTTGGTTCTGTGATAAGTTTACATAAAAATTAGTGGCTTAAACAGCACAGGTCTATTACCTTACAGTTCTATAGGTTAGAATTTCAACAAGAATCTTATGGGCTAAAATCAAGATCTCAGTAGGAGTGTGTCTTTCCTGGAGGCTCTAGGGGGAGAATCTGTTTGTCTTTTCCACCTTCTAAAGGCTGCCCACGCTACTTGGCTCCTGGTTCCCTTTACCTTCATGTCCAAAGCCAACAATGGTGTGTGGAGTTCTTGTTAAATCATCTCTCTCTGGTCTCTTCTGCTTTCTTCCATGTATAAGGACCCTTGTGATTGTGTTGGGCCCACCAAAACAATCCAGGAAATCTGTTTTTAGGTCATCTTATTAGCAACCTCAGTTCCCCTTTGCTATGTGATATAACATAGTCACAGGTTCTGCAGATTAGAATGTGGATATCTTCGTGGGAACTATGGTTCTGCACCTATAGCAACACTGACAAGGTGTGCGGCCCAAGGGAATGTACCACTAACAGTAAATTTGCTTTTAAGTCCTTAGAATCAAGTGAAGTAAGGAGAAGGAAGTTCCAGGACCAGCAGAGCATCACTTGTGGGGATATCATTAACTTGAGATGTGAGATCTACGAACAGAATTTGAATGACAGTCTAGAAGTGTATAGAAACCAAGAGATCCCTGTTCCTGGCCATCTTCTAAGAGCGGAAGAAAATGACCAAGGTCCAGGTGAGTTTTAATGTTTATTTATTCCCCCCCCACTTTTTTTCCTTCTTGTTGTATTTGTAGAGGCTTTTAAAAATGGATTTGATTCACTGGTAAAATTACATATTGATAAGAGCCTGAATCTGAAGAAAAATAAACATCAACTTTAATGTCAATGTCAAGGCAAACCTGGAATGGTGGAACTGCAGGTCAGAGAATCTGCTCAGAACTTTTCCTGACTCCTTTTTTTCCGTTTCTAGAGTTGGAATTGGGTCTGTTTGATATTTTCCATGTTACTCCATATGTTCATTCTTTCCTCTACCTTTGTAAACATATGAATGTATAATATGTGTTTCAACATCCTTGTCTACTGATTCTACTATATATGTCATTTTTGGTTTTGTTTCCATTGATGATCCTTTGTCTTTGTATGAGTCATATTTTCTCTTTGCACATCTGGTAATTTGGATGGGCTGCTAGGCACTGTAAATTTTTTATTGTTGGGTGATGGATTTTTATTCCTTTAAATATTTTTGAGTTTTATTCTGGGATACAATATAACTTACTATACTTATGCTTTTCAGTGGGAGGGAGGCTGTGGGTACTACTGACATCTTGAGCTTCACAGTGATTCCTGTTATGGGAGTGTCATTTGCTTTACAAGATATATAGCACCCTCGGTCCCCAACCATTAAATACCATAGGGCCCTAGTCAGTTTGATAATGTGAAACATCCTCAGAAACTTTCATACCCCCTTTGATACATTACCTAAAGTTGGAACAAGACAAAGATGTCCACCAACACCACATTATTTGGAAATACTAGTCAAGAAAAGAGGTAAAAGAGAAATAAATTTGGAAAAGAGGATTTAAAACTTTCCTTACTAACAGATAATTTGGCTGCATAAATGGAAAAAGCTGAGAATCACCACAAGCTTATTAGAAACAATAGGAGAAATCCATATATCATATTAAGATATACTAATAAGTGTAACATCCTTGGTTGGAAGTTGCTTCACTCAGCACTTTGAAAGTACTATTCCATTCTTTTTGGGGGTAGAGGTAGTTAGGTTTCTTTATGTATTTGTTTTAACGTTTTATTTGTATTATTAATACATTTT